TCAATCAAAAAAAAAAAGAGCGAAAAAATGGGTTTTCAAACCTTGCGCAAGTGTGTCTGTGTGTGTGTGTGTGTGTGTGTGTGATCGGGTGGGGGGGGCGACCCCTCCCAACCTATCAATCAATCAATCAATCAAGGAAAAAAAACAAAAACAAAAAAGAGAAACAAAAAAAAACAAATGAAGCCACTTTCGAACCCACGCACGTAAGTGTGTGTGTGTGTGTGTGTGTGTGTGTGTGTGTGTGTATGTGATTGGGTGGGGGTGGGGGGAGCGACCCCTCCCCCACCAATCAATCAGTCAGTCAATCAATCAAAAAAAAAAAAAATCGGCCCTAAAATTATTTGCCCCCCCTCAAAAAATCCCCAGATTCCGCCCCCCCCGGTTTTGAAGTTTTTATGGGTTTTTTTTTGCGAGGGGGTAGGGGAGCCCCCCCCCCACTCGAAACCCGCTCCCCACCCCCTAACCCCCCTCCCCGATCGGCCACGTCCTCGACCGAAAGTTCGTGACCGGAGCGGCCATGACCGGAGGGGTCCCGGCCACGGCCGGCGGTCGTGGCCATGCCGAACTCGGTCGCGGCTGAGGGGATACATAGCTGAGGTCGGCACGTTGTCACGATGGAAGGGAACTCCGACCTGTTGCAATTCACGATACAACTCGTCAAAAGCGAGGTCAATTCGGGGGCCCACAAGTACGAGTTCACGGTCGTGAAGGCGACACGGGATTTCATGTGGAGCAACAAGATGGACATGTGGTTCAACTGGACAGCCAGAGATTGGGCGGTGGGCGCAGCGTGAGCGGGAGCGCTGCGCCCTCGCTAGAGCACCGTCGGAGCGGACGCGGCGCGACGCAGGAGCTAACAGAGAGTCTGGCGACGCAGTGGGCGGGTGGGGGCTGTGGGCGTGAGACTTAAAAGCGGATCGGTAGAGATGATGTGGCGCGACCTGGTGTGGCCTGCCTTTTGAAAGCACAGGTGGTGCTATCTCCGGCTTCACGCTTCACCTAGTGATGATGCAGGCTAGAACGCTATATGAAGGGAAGTCTGCCTTGAAAGGGGGCGGGTTTTCATGAGATTCTCGGCATATTGGTTGCCTTTGCTTCTCTGCATGTGTAGTTTTGTGGAGGATGGTCGGTTGATGCAGGCTGAAAGGGAGGAGCGCATCCTCACGTGGAGTGGGAGGAGGATTGGAGGTGACATCGAGTCCGTGGTTTTTTAAGAAGGGCCAAGCGGTATCGGCGGCAGCTGCGTTTTTCGTCACGAGGCCATCTGGAGTGCGAGGGCGCTATGGTCGAGTTTTTGTAACCTCGTTGATTGCATCTTGAGGATGAACTTGGTTTTTCTTTGGATAGTCCCTCTCTCTGATCATATGCGTATAATGTTTTCAGTCATATTCACCAATCTGGATTACTTCGATTTGCGTAGCGGATGTTTACCATTGATGATGATCTAATTAGGTTTTTTGAATTTTTTCTTCTCTATTCTGAATTCACTCGTTTGTTTTTTTAGGTTGTAATTCTGGATATTCTTTCTAAATGATGATGATCTGATTCAGTTTTTTGTTGGTGTTTCCTTCTGATAATATGGTTTCTTGAAAATATTTTCTTAAACGTTTTCATGTCGTACATCTTTGCTAAACTTTTCTCAAACTATGGTTTGAGAATCTGATTCGAAAATCCTTTATGGATATCTAAACCTAAACTTCGTATAATTTCTCGTAAATTTTGTTACTCAGTAGTTTTCCTTATCATTGTTTGTATGGTCTTTTTTTTTTTCTTGATTTCCGATACAAACTCATTCTGATCTTCGATGCCTAAAAGTAGGCTATTGTAGTATTTTTTCAAAACCCTATGGTTGCTAATGATAATAACGTGCGGTAAATTTTGATTCGGATTGGTTTTCTCTGTTTGTTAATCTCAACTTCCTGGTCTTGAGGGGTGTAATTGTGGCTTATTGTGTATATCTGTGGGGTCTTCCTTGAGGGCTGGAGCCTCCCACCGTGAGGGTTTCACAAGGTGGGAGGTATTATTCTTGGACGGGGGAGGCGGTATTGGGGGATTGTTGTCTCTTAGCCAGACTGATTTAGGGTTGGATCAGTACTGGCAGGTGGGGAAAGAAGGCAAGGGGGTGGCTGCTTATAGCAGTGTGTTGTGGGAAGGAGAATCATCGATGGCTACAGAGTGAGCCGAAGGGGGGGAAGCTAGATTTGAAGGAAGGAAGGTAGCAAGGGGATTCTCAACAAAAAGGGTTGTTGTTAGGGTAAGTAGGTTAGAAGGACGATGTTGGGACGACACCGGCCGGTGTTGGAGTCTCTGCTCTGTAACCCAAGGGGAGCTTGAGATTTGGGAAGTTATGCCGAGCGTGGAAGGCATAACCAGATTGTCTGACGTAGTTGGCGCCGGGGTTTTGACCCTGTAACCTGTTTAGGGGCTCGCCGCTAGGGGAATTGTCAAGGGAGGAAGGCACTTCCTGTCCGTCAGAGCTAGGTTGATCGGTACTTGGGAGGGTTGTGGTGCCCTGTTACCGTAGCAGAAGAGGGTATGAGATCAAGTGAGTTCTGGTACGAGGACTGAAAACCTGGACTGGCGACCGATCTGTTGAAAGGGGGAATTTAGGATAGTAGGCAGATTTAGTCTTGCCCCCCCCCGCCCTTTATTTTTCTGAAGTTTTTCGAATGTCCCAAAAATAGTTCGGTGCTTAGCGGTCCTATGAATGTTTTTTAGGGCTTTGGGATCCCTACTAACTCGTCTTAGGTGGCTTCAATGATGTTATGCGCAGTGATCTGCGACTATTCGATGCCAGAACGACATTGACCGGTGCTGGGGTGTTGCCCTGTAACCTGCGATGCAAGAGCGTGAGGTCTGGTAGAGAGATCTAGGGATGTCTTAGGGTGGGCTTCCCACGGGACAACCAAGGGTTGCTGCTGGGATGACGCTGGCCGGAGCTGGGGTGAGTCGCGCTGCCCTGTAACCCAGCAGAAAGTGGGCGTGTGAGACCTAGAAGAGATCGACAGGGATTACGACAGTTTTGGAAAACGTTGGAAGGGTTTGTGTGGGATTTCAAGGTTTTTGGAATAATCGTAGGACCTCTGTGGCCTATTCTCATGCTTCTGGAACGACGGTAAGAGTTCTTAGATATTTAGAAAAAGAACATAAGGTGAGTGGGAGAGGATGGTGGGTTACCACACGTTCTACCAGTGAGGGGGCTAGCTTGTAGGATGGGAGTATGGCATAGCGGCAGTAGAGATGGTGGTTCCGCTGCAGTCAGTCTTGCCGGCGTGAGGTATAGTGGATTGATGGAGGGTTTTCTGAGTCGTTTCTGAATTTCGCTTAATCATGAAGATTGTCCTAGACATGTCTGAAGTAGCTCCAATTTTTTCGAGCCAAAGCCCGGTAATGGCCCCGGTATCTCCATTTCCAAAATTTCATCCTTAGGTCAATTAGATTTTTCTAGTAGTTCCTTGTCTCATTTTCATGAATCTTCTGTTGAAGTTTTCTGAGCGTACTCGTTTATGGGACGTTGGGCCCGGTTCCTAGTTTGTGCCAATTTGTGAGGATATGGTTGTATCTATAGGACGCTGGACCCGGTTTCCAACAGGTGCTGCTCCCCACCAATAGATGGAGTTTTTTTCCAAAAAAAAAAAAAAAAAAAAAAAAGTGAGAGGAAGAGGAACAAGATATACGAGTTCTTGTTCTTGCAAACATGGCCGATGAAGGACACTGACGCCGAGTACGTCCGCCACAAGGACCACACGTTGGCGTTGCTCGACAACTACCATGGCACATCCCGCATGAACGCGACGACCTTCCTCGAAAGGTTATAGTCCTTGTACTTCGTCCAGTCCGAGGAGGAGTTGAAGTTCGACAACTATGCTTCCTTGATCTTCATTGACGACGAGGCAGTCACTGGTATCGAGTTCGACACCAACGCAAAGGAGGAGGAGAGCAACAACGAGAGCGTCGACCTGCAGGATGACCCACCTCCATCGGAGCGCGCCCGAGGATCCTCGTCGGTCGGTCTGTCAACAAGCCCGACATCCCTCGTGTCACCGATCGCCAAATCGGCGCCGGGCACTACCCCGATGAAGTTGTTGGAGAGACTGAAAGCTCTGGCTGTCCCCCTGCGCGCATTGCGTCCCGTGTCTGACGTCCTGCCCAATGATCCATCTTGGAAGGATGATAATATTCACTTGTTGAGCCGCAAAGTCATTCGCTTGAGGTGGATAGGGGCCATGACATGATTTGGCATCCAGCAGTCGTCTAGCCCGCGATACAAAACGGCGAGTGGATCATGGGCATCGCTGTCCCGGGCGCAAGAGGGGTGTCCATCCGTCGGGAGTTGAAGTCCAACTTCTTGCATCTCGCGAGGATTTTTCTTCCAAAAAGTGAGGACCAAAAATGAGATGTTTGCACCCGACGATGTGTCTGTCGTTTCCACAGTTGGGCGACTGTTCGACGAGCTTCAGGACAAGTGCTGGTTCTAACTGACGGAGGACTACGATGAGCCATCGAAGGGCATGGTGAACTGGAAAGTGCCCCCCCCAGGTGGGGCGCACGAAAGTTCCGGGGGAGGGGCCACCAGGCGGTGGAGGGGACGGGGGTGACAGTGAGGGGGGTGGCAAAGGAGTCCCGCCTAGTGGGGAGGGCGGGTCTCTAGGCGACACCACCACAAAAGAAGGCAGCGGTGGGGCGGCGGGTTGGGCCATTGATCGACATCCGTCTACTGGCCCCGGGCTAGAGCATACTACGCAGTCCTCCGACCTCCCGACTTCGTTCGCCAGCTCAGTGAGGGAGACGATGGCAGCCTTGGTTGCTCTCGGTAGCCGCTCGGGTGGAACGTTAAAGTCCGCCGGGATCCGAACTACGTCGGTTGAGGTGCCGCCAGAGCGGTCGGCCGTGCAGAGCTGGTCAGGGGTGGGTGTGCTGAGGCAGGATCCCACAATTGGTAGCGGTGCGGTAAGGGATGGGAATGTGTCGCCTGAGGGGGAATGACGTCTGCTGGGATTGGAACGAGAGGATACAAGTGGAGGGCCCGACGAGACGGAGACGACGAACTCCATCGAGATCCGATCTTCTTCAGAGGGGAGGGGTCGGCTAGGGATTCTCGTGTCACTGGGAGAGGCAGCATGTGTGGGGACAGAAGGGCAGTCGTCGGGATTCGACACGGGTTCGCGAGAAGGGGCTGAATTGGATGGAAGGGAAGGACGGCGGAAAATGGAGGAAGGGAAGGAAGGAGGAGATGGGGAGGAAGAAGGGGAAGAAGGAAAGGAAGGACAGGAAGGGGGAGAAAGGAAGTTGATTGAATTGCTTGAAGGAAAAGAGGGTGCCAAACGGGACGTAGATATTGTTGACGACGAAGGGGAGGAGAGTGAGGACGATGTCGGATCTGGAGAGTCGCCTCACGAGTTCGGGCAATTGTACGAAGAACATCGCGAGGATGATATCGAATACGATGTGACTGCAATGGAAATGGAGACCCAGATGGTTAACGGTCTTTCGTCAGAACGTGAACACTATGAGGTTCAACCACTTACGTTTATCGCTGATCTTAAACACCAGTTCGACTAGGTTTCCATTGTTGTGAGCCCATCTAAAGCAAGTCGCCGTATAAACATCGAAGAAGTTATGGGAGTACGTGTCCGCGCATCCGTCCACAATGCCTTACGTCGATGAGCCCCGCATCCTCGGCGACCAGTACGTGTCCGCGCATCCGTCCACAATGCCTTACGTCGACGAGCCCCGCAACGTCAAACCTTCCACGGCAGCTGCCTTCGCTTTCTCGCCGCCGAACTCTCCGATACTGTCGGCCACCCTAGCCAGTGGGGGGGAAGGCGACATCATGGGACGACAACATGTCACGTCCCCGAAAAAAATCTAAGGTTGGCACTCAAGCTCTTGATGTGCTGGATCTGTCAGTGCCATCTTCATTTACGAAGGAGCGCAGAGACAAACCGGCTGGTAGGGTGTGAAGAACGCCACATTGTCTACGAGCCCAGGCTTCCGAGAGCAAGAGTGCGGCTTCCTTCGTAGTCCGGATGTCAGCGGACTAATCCACACCATAAACACAAGGGGTGTCCACACTATCTGTCGATGCGGGGAGTTCCGGATGCCGACATATTACAGCCACCAGTCCTTCCAACTACATGTCGTCGGCCTTCATGTGAGTCCAGTCAGGTTGCTGGTCGTCGACAGAGAAAACATCAACAAAAACATAACACTTCATCAACGGAAGGATCTATCCTTTTATATAGTATGTTTTTATTGAAGCATTCCCTCACAAAAACCTCCCTGGCTAAAAATTTGGCCAACTCAATGGAATGACAGTTTTTCCTTCTCGGAAAAAGTGGTGGTTTAAGTCCACCTGGGATCCACACTTCCTATGTCGATGCGTAATGCGGTTAGTCTTTGTGTGCCTGTTGTGGGAAAAAGTCCGCCGAGATCCAAACTTCGGGGAATGTTGGTCTTCCGGTTCTGTGGCTTGTTGTGGCTTTCTTTGCGAAGGGTCGGGGTGTCAAGCTCGAATGCGCTAGTTGTTTTGATTTTCAGTTGCCCACACGCACCTCGGTGATCATGGCCATGCTAAATCGAGGTTCTGTGATTGGAGAGGTCATGCGTCTTTTAGATTATGTGGTTCTCACATTGTCACTTTCGTCGGATTCGTGTGGGGAAACGTGTATTCATTTTCAGTTTAATCTTTCTTCTGTTGTACAGGGGTAGGGTCATCACGAACACCGAGGTCCTCGAAATATCTGAAACACATATTGAAGAAAGTCCTCGGGTTGATGACAAAACACAAGGATATTTTAGCGGCATCAGCGGTTGATGTCGAGATCAGGAAGAAGTAGCATGTCATTGCCATTGAGGAGTGCCTTTCCCTTCTGCCCAGAGAAAATGACATATCCACGATCTGTGAGTAGGGATCAGGCCATGTATGAAAAATACTTAGCAACGCGTCGTGCAATGAAGGGCAATGCTTAAAACTCTGTTTCTCATTACTATGTGTGTCCTTTGCTCGATGTTGTGCAGTGCATGCCACAACATGTGGAACACGTGGGAGAAGATTCGCTGCAGTGACTGCGCCTCGTAGCTTGCAGGTTTTCGACGACATTAAACGAGGTTTGGTGCCACCTCATATTGTTCTCTCTACCCTCGTTAATGGTCAATTGCGAATTACAGCAAAAGATATTTTCACGCTCTTGCACATCGACGGCAGGGTGAATGATGAGGTGGTCAATTTTCACATGGCGCTATTGGGGTCAATCACATGTGCGATACGTGACATTCCGTCAGACCTTTAAATCTTCAACTTTAATTCGTTCTTCTTCAGTAAACAACAACTTCAAGGACACGGTGGGATGGAAAGGTGGGCTAAAAACGTAGATCTGCTTCAATATGATATTATCTTTGTTCCTTTCCACAAAGATAATGATCATTGGATCCTCCTTTCCGTCAACTTGAGAGACAACATTCTCAAAAATTTTGATTATCTTCCTCGCGTTATAACTGATTCGAGATTTTACCTTAGTGTTTTCGAGTTGATTGTACAATATTTTTAACGCCAAACATTACATAGGTGGTCGGGTAGGAAGTGGAAGTCGAATGCAGCAAATATTCAATATTGTGGTGGAAGGAGTTCCAAAACAAGTGCATTGAACTACTTGCGGGGTGTTCATGTTGATGTTTGCGACGTTGTTGCAATGCTGTAATCGACCACCTTTCAGGTTCTCTTCTAAAGATATTCCGCTTATTAGACAACAATTGGCATCATGTACCTTAGAACGTTGTTGTCGTTGATGGATTTGATTGACTTAGAAACTTTCTTTTGAAAATATTTTATTCATTAATTATTATATTTGATAAATCCTTACATTATTCAATTGTCGTTTCCACAACGATATTGTTTTTTTTATCGTTGAGAGTTTGAGTTGTCTTTGGCATGCTGACTTGTAGTGTGACGTCACGTGTTGACTTTGGAATCTCTATCACATCCTAGTCGTCTCTCATGCGGCGGATCAAGTGCGCATTGCATTCCTTATTTCAAATTGTGTTTATATCAACCAAAAGTGTGCATATGATTGACATCAGATAATATCAGTAATTCTAGTGCGACATAACAAATTGGTATGTGGATGCAAGATAAATCTCGGCGAGTGTGTGAGTGTGTGGTTCATTATGCAAAGATCAGTAATATCACGTCTCTTGCATGCGCATAAAATCACATGCCTTGTCACCGCCTTCATTACATATGACCAGCAACTCTATGTTTTTACGCAAACCTTTCATGCATGGGCAATTAAAGTCGGGATCCGATCGGAAATAAGCAAATTCGAAGTTCTTGTATAATATCACAGGCATTGTCGCAAAAAACAAACCTTTATAACAAAATTAACTGTCTGTTACAAGACGTAGGGTGAATATCTTTGAGTTGTACTTCAATTACTAATGTAACTGTTACATCAGTTGAAGTTGATGAAACAAACTACGTCATAATATATCCAACAAGTTTACAATGACACATTGTTCAAAGCACACGTGTCCAACAAGGATACAATCATGACACCTTGCCCATCACAATTGTAAACATGTATGGATCTTCACACATTTCCTCATATCGAGCGAGATGGTGGGTGTGTCCATCATCAGACTAAGTATTATAGAGAATTCGGGATCTCATCAACATCCAAACAACCATCTCGGGCGAGATGATGGCAAATCTGTACAACTTATGGATAACCTAAAAAAATGTGTTATTTAAGAAGGATTCAATCATGACACTTTCACCATCATATCTATAAACTTTAAGTTTAACAAGTATGAATCTCAACACACTTCCGCACAGGGTTCCCAGATGGGCGTGCCTATCGTTATACTAGACTTAGTTCAGATCTCATCAAACATTCAAACAATCGTCTTAGGCGAGAGAATGGACATGTCTGTACAATTAGGGATAACCTAAAAAATTATATTATCCAACGAGGATTCCATCCTGACACCTTGCTCATCTCGTTTATGAAGTTTAACAAGTATGAATCTCAGCACGCTTCCGCATTTGGGATATCATTTATAAAGTTTAACAAGTATGCATCTCAGCACGCTTCCACATGTGGTTAAGCCCTGAATGGGCGTGCCTACGTTGCTTACGCTAAAACCGAAAATTGATTCGTTATAAAGAGGACACAATATAATATCATATTTTAACGAATAACATGTTGAGAGAGAGAAAGAGAGAGAGAGAAAGAGAGAGAGAGAGAGAGAGAGAGAGAGAAAGAGAAAGAGAGAGAGACAGAGGGAGGGAGAGATAGAGAGATATAGATAGATAGATATAGAGAGAGAGTGACTCACCATATACATCCGATCGGAGAGCAGAAAGGGAGAGTGTCACCACATGCGACCGGACAAGGTCGGCGCCCGGATCGAAGATCATACGTCCCGCGTGCATTTGCACATACGTGATTTCATCTTGTCCGGATTTAGACCAATACAGAGAAGATTAGCATGTATAACAATAAATAGATAAATGTGTATACGTAACTGGCGTTTGGGACGGGCTGAACACCCGAACGTATGGGACCCCTTGGGGATGCGTTCGGCCGTTCGGACCGAACACAGACCCAAAAAAAAAAAAAAAAAAAAAAAAAAAAAAAAAAAAAAAAAAAAAAAAAAAAAAAAAAAAAAGCAGAAAAAAAAAAAAAAAAAAAAAAAAAAAAAAAAAAAAAAAAAAAAAAAAAGTCATAAAAAAAAAATGAAAACAAGGTATGTTATGGAGGAAAATAAATTAAATAAGATTTGCCCGAGCATTACATCCGAATTCCTTACCAAATTTGAAATAAAAATAAAATATGGAAAACAAATACTAATAATAAAAATAAATAAATAAAAAACGAGAATCAAATTTAGTGAGTGCGCGAGCATGTTTTCAACACCGCCATCTTTGGCGATTTTTTTTTTTTTTTTTGGCATAGCTAAATGCCCTGAAAATTTACAGATGTGTACTTCACGTAATACAAAACCCACTAAAAAAGTTTCAAAAAAAAATAGACCCCGAACTAAAGTGAAAACAAAAAGTAAAAAGTGAAAAAATACGTGATCGAGCACGTTTTGACACCGCCATCTTTGGCGATTTTTTATTCTTATTTGGCTTAGCCAAATGACTTGAAAATGTACTGGAATGTACCTCACGCGAACGTTCGGGCGTTCGGGTCCCTGTACGCGGCCCGAACTCAAAGGGGTCCGGACCCCGCAAAAAAATATTTTGGTACCTACAAATTATTAGTTTTTTCTGTTTTTTTTTTTTTGTAAGTTCTCTGCTCTGTAAGCTACCTGTCTCTGAATTTTGAAGTCATTCTGTCAAGCCAAAAAATAATGAAAAATCGGCAAAGATGGTGGTGTCAAAACTTGCTTTCCCACTTACTAATTTGTTTTTTTTCTCCTTTCACTTTTTGTTTTCCCTTTATTTCGGGGCCTGATAAAAATAATTATTTTTTTAAACTTTATTTCTAGGTTCTGTATTATGTAAGATACATACATATAAAATTTCATGGCATTTTACGAAGCCAAAACAAATGAAAAATCGCCAAAGATGGCAGTGTCAAACACTTGCTCGCCAACGAAATAATT